CGAATTTCTTATTAATTATGAAGGCTACTCCATTTCTTCGATGTTCCTCTTGTCCGCAGTAGTAGATCTGGTTGTCATCTGATGTGAAGTGGCCCATTCCAGTCCACTTCAGTTCGCTGACCCCCAGAATGTCTATCTTTAGTCTTGACATCTCGCCAATAACAACATCCAATTTGCCCTGGCTCATAGATCTTACATTCCAGGTTCCTATGGTGTGTTGATCTTTAGAGCATCGGATTCGTCGTTCACCTCCAGTACCGTCGGCCGCTAGCCTTCCTTTCGGCTTTGAGCTAGCTGCGTCATCACATCTGGGGATAGTTGAACTTATCCTCTGCTCCTCCCCAGTAGCATTTTGGCCATCTTCCGACCTGGGAGTCCCATCTTCCAATGGCATACCGACATATCTCTGAGTGAAATACATGTGATGAAATATTCTACATCATATTGAATAGACAACAAAGTGGTGTTCTGTAGATGTTTTACCTCCAATCATCCTAACCTTTAGTCATCCTAACAGTTGAGACCAGCTGTATCTCTCACATTTGTAGGCCAGAGAAACTACTCCAAGTTTTAGAAAGCATTGAAAAGCCATCCATTGTGTTGAATCTATTTGAGAACCTTTTTAAAGCTTGTTTAAATTTTGGATTCACTGAGCTGCTGGTTTGAGTGCCACTCCATCAGTTCAGGCTGAAGGGCAAGTCATTCCAAGGGCAGTAGACTGGGGAGACTGAAACACTTCCTAAACTGGTGTTTTAGGAACATTTGGGGCCACTTTCAGAATGTGCTTCAAAACCAAATTACAGATAATGCAAATAAATAATGTAACTATACCCCAGCTTTAACTTTGAAGTAATTTCCTGCAATATTAAAATGGAGTCCCATAGATCTATTTACCATTGAGTAAACAGGCTGATTGAGTTGCACAGGAAGTATGTTTAGGAGTGTAGTTTCATTTAAAAATTTCCCATCATCATCACCATAGGTTGTGCTCCAGCCACAAAAAAATTAAAAAGACAGAGGGAAAAGGAAAAGTGGGGGTGTTTAGAGTTGTCCACACAACGCAGATACATATTTCTAACTCTGAAACCATGGCCAGGTCAGAAAACCAAATTTGAAAAATATGTCTAAGGTGTGGCATGCTGACTTGTGCATCAGACTACAACTCTCAAGACCCAGGTTTGATTCATTGCTTGCCTATGGAAATCCACTGGGGAGGCATTCACATTCTAGAATTGGTGTCAAACTGCATTCATTCCAGAGTAGAGATGCCCTTAGTTGGGCTTAGTGCCAAAATCTGGAAAACACTATAGGTTTGTTACTTGTGCATTGCTGGTTTATAGCAACCCTCAGGGCTTTTCTGGCACTTATTTATTTCATATCAAAAGCATTGCATAAATAAATAAGTATACTGAGAGTCTGATACTGAGAGCATGAGACTCACCCAAGATCACCCAGGGTGTATCTACACCCGTGGTTCTCAACCTGTGGGTCCCCAGATGTTTTGGCCTGGAACTCCCAAAAATCCCAGCCAGTTTACCAGCTGTTAGGATTTCTGGGAGTTGAAGGCCAAAATATCTGGGGACCCAGAGGCTGAGAACCACTGATCTACACTACAGAATGAATGCAGTTTGACACCACTTTAAGGACCATGGCTCAATGCTTTGGAATCATGGGAGTTTTAGTTGTACAAGCCTTCTCTGCCAAAGAATGCCATGCCTCATCAATCTACAACTCTGATGCTTCTATAGCATTGAAGCATGGCAGTTAAGGTGGTCTCCAACTGCATTCATTCTACAGGGTAGGTGTATTTGGGCTTGCTGTCAAAACCTAGACAAGGTTTTTGACTTATTTTATTGTCTTTTATTGTATTTTATCTTACATATCGTTGACATAAATATAACTTTTTAAAATATTCATACATATATGCATCTGCCTGGTTTTAAAGTTCTATTGTATTGTAACATCTCATTGTTAGCTGTCTTCAGTCCCTATGGGGAGAAAGGTGGAATAAAATAGTTTTTTTATCATGTTAGAAATGACTTGAGAAACTGAAAGTCACTTCTGGTGTGATTGAATTGGCCATCTGCAGAGACGTTGCCCATGGGATGCCCGGATGTGTTACCATCCTGTAGGAGGCTTCTCTCATGTCCCCCCACATGGGAATAATAGAATCATAGAGTCATAGAGTTGGAAGAGTCCAACCCCATTCTGCCCAGAAGCAGGAAAATCACATTCAAAACAGCCCCGACTGATGGCCATCCAGCCTATGCTTAAAAGCTTCCAAAGAAGGAGCCTCCACCACACGCCGAGGCAGAGAGTTCCACTGCTGAACAGCTCTCACAGTCAGTAAGTTCTTTCTAATGTTCAGATGGAATTGCCTCTCTTGCGGTTTGAAGCCATTATTCTGCGTCCTAGTTTCCAGGGCGGCAGAAAACAAGCCTCCTCCCTATGACTTATTCTCAGGTATTTATATATGGCCATCATGTCTCAGCCTTCCCTTCTGCAGGCTAAACATGCTCTGGAAGCTGGAGCTGACAGACAGGAGCTCACCCTGTCTTGCAGATTCGAACTGCTGACCTTCAGGTCAGCAGTTCAGCTGGCACAAGGGTTTGACCCATTGCACCACTGCGGTTCTGCAATAAAATAGTTAATAATAATAATAATAATAATAATAATAATAATAATAATGTGCTTTCAAGTCATTTCCAGCTGATGGCTTTTAATGTGGTTTGAATGTGATTTTCCTGTTTCTTGGTGAGGGTTAGACTGGATGGTTCACAAGGTCTCTTCCAGTTCAATGATTCTATGAGTCTATGGTGACCCTAAGGCAAAGCTATCAAGAGTTTTGGAATATGTGCAATGACCATGGGATGGCTTTAGACTACGATTTCTGGAGGGTGTGATTTTAATATTGAATGCAATGTTTTTAAATGTTTAATATGTATTCATTTTAATTTGATTTATTCTAGGCATAGTGTTCTAAAAAGGTAAAGGTTGTCTCCTGGCCAGCATGACTGCATGGAGTGCCGTTACCTTCCCGCTGCAGTGCTACTTATTGATCTACTCACATTTGCATGTTTTCAAACTGCTAGGTTGGCAGAAGCTAGGGGTGACAGCGGAAGCTCACACCGCTCCCCGGAATTGAACCTGTGACCTTTCGGTCAACAAGCTCAACAGCTCAGCACTTTAACCCACTATGCCACCGGCAATGGTATTCCCCGTAGTAACCTATGGATGTGAGAGCTGGACCATAAGGAAGGCTGAGCAAAGGAAGATAAACGCTTTTGAACTGTGGTGTTGGAGGAAAATTCTGAGAGTGCCTAGGACTGCGAGAAGATACAACCAGTCCATACTCCAGGAAATAAAGCCCGACTGCTCACTGGAGGGAAGGATAGTAGAGGCAAAGATGAAGTACTTTGGCCACATTATGAGAAGACAGTAAAGCTTGGAGAAGACAATGATGCTGGGGAAAATGGAAGGAAAAAGGGGGAGGGGCCAACCAAGGGCAAGGTGGATGGATGGTATCCTTGAAGTGACTGGCTTGACTCTGAAGGAGCTGGGGGTGGTGACCACTGACAGGGAGCTCTGGCGTGGCCTGGTCAATGAAGTCACGAAGAGTTGGAAGCGAGTAAACAAATAAACAACAACAAGCTTAATGTTTTGTAGTTGACTATAAGTAAGCTGCCTTGAGTACCCTTCGGGGTAGAGAAAGGTGGGGTATAAATAGGGTAGATAAATAAATAAATCGAGCCCTCTCCCCACGTGGCACAGTGGGTTAAAGCACTGAGCTGCTGAGCCTGTTGACCAAAAGGTCACAGGTTTCAATCCAGGGAGCGGTGTGAGCTTCTGCTATCAGCCCCAGCTTCTGCCAACTTAGCAGTTCAAAAACATGCGAATGTGAGTAGATCAATAGGTACTGCTTCTGTGGAAAGGTAACAGTGCTCCATGCAGTCATGCTGGCCACATGACCTTGGAGGTGTCTACGGACAACGCCAGCTCTTCGGCTTAGAAATGGAAATGAGCACCACACCCTAGAGTCAGACAAGACTGGACTTAATGTCAGGGGGAAACCTTTACCTCACCTAAATAAATAAACATTATTTTCTGTGACTGAGACTGCATGACTCACCCAAGGTCACCCAGGCTGCATCTCCACTGTAGAATTGATGCAGTCTGACACCAGCCTTAACTGCCGTGACTCACTACTGTGGAGTCCTGGGCTTTTTAACTTGGGAGAAAAACCAACATTGCATTGTCGAAGGCTTTCATGGCCGGAATCACTGGGTTGTTGTAGGTTTTTCGGGCTGTATGGCCATGTTCTAGAAACATTCTCTCCTGACATTTCACCTGCATCTATGGCAGGCATCCTCAGATGTTCTAGAAGCATTATTTCACAACCTCTGAGGATGCTTGCCATAGATGCAGGTGAAACGTCAGGACAGAATACTTCTAGAACATGGCCATATAGCACGAAAAACCTACAACAACCCAGAAACCAACATTCTTTGGCAGGGGAGGCTTGTAAAAACTCCAACTCCCATGAGCCCACAGCCTTGAACCCTGGCAGGCATAGCGGTGTCAACCTGCATTCGCTCCACAGTGCGGGGAGCCCCCCGAAGGAGGACCAGCAAAGCCCGCTTTCCCTCAGGCGCTGGAGGAGAGCAGCACTAGACAGCTCCCGGCTCCCTCTCTCTCTCCCCCCGCCCTCTCGGGTAGATCAGGGGGCGACTGGAGGGAAGGGGCGGGCACATGACGTCAGCGGCGGCGGCGGGCGCGGATTGGAGGCCAGGCGGGGAGGGGGCGTGGCCGGGTCCGGCTCCTGCGCTAACCTATTTGCTGGCCTCAGTCTCCCTGGCTCTGGATGGGGAGAAGGGACGGCGGCGGCGGGTCGGGTTACGTAAAAGCCGCCGGACCGCGGCGGAGGCAAAGGCTCCCAGAGGAGGAGCCCGCCGGGAGGGGGCGTGACCTCCCCAGCATCCCCGTTACCGTCCCCATCCCCATCCTCTTGGGCTCTTGGGCTGCCTCCCTATCCCGAGATGAAGGCGCTGGAGGAGCAGCCAGGCTGGGGCTTCCCTCCTGGGCAGCGCCGCCTCTTGTAACGGGGGATTTGGGGCCAAGCGAGGAGCCTTTCCCTCTCAGCAGCAGCAGCAGCAGCGAGGAGAGCGGTCTCCCTCCGCAGGTGAGCCCAACGGGGAAGAAGAAGGCGAAGGAATGGAGAGCTCTCCTGTTGGAGAAGAATTGGGGCTTGGCATGGGAAGGGAAGGGGTCCCGCCAGGAAGCGCCTGCCAAGGGGCTCCTCTCTCGGGAGGGGGAGGCGCCTGGCGCTCCACCAAGGACTTGTTTGCCCAGGCGGCAACTTTCTGAGGGGCTCCTCCAACCCGGAGGCAGAAGGAAGGAGCCCGCCAGGCTTGGACCGCCCTGCCTCGAGGGTGGGGGCTCCTGAGTCCTGTAGAGGGGTGGAGGGGGGCTCCCCGTCTTTGGTCTTTTTCGGAGAAAGGCCAACGACAGGGCCAAATGCTCCCCCCCCCCTCGCCCGTCGCGCCCTGGCGGCTCCGGCGGCGTGGCTGCAGGCGGAGGAAGCGCGCGCCCAGGCTGCCTCGGGTCAAGCGCCGAACCTGAGGGCTCCAGTTCCCTTCGGCTTCTTCCTTCCTTCCTTTCTTTCTTTCCTTCGGCCGAGGCGGCCAATCCTCCTCCTGGCCCCGTTTGACACGCAGCAGCGACGTGTGCGCCTTGTGTTTGTGTTGAGGGCAAACGCGCAGGCGGTGGTGGGATTAGGAAAGGTGACCGGGAAAGGAGGCATCTCTTTCCCTCCCCCCCCCCTCTGCTCTTCTCTTTCTGTCTGTCTTTCTCTCGGTCACACGCACACACACACACACTTCCCCCCCTCCTCTTCTCTTTCTGTATGTCTGTCTCCCCCCCTCTCTCTCACACACACTTTCCCTGTCTCTTTTCTCACACATAGTCTTTTCCTTCCTCTCTGTCTCTTCTCTTTCTCTGACACACACTCTTTCCCTTTCTCTCTCTCTCACACACTTTCCCTTCCTCCCCTCTCTCCCCTCTCTCTCTCTCACACAAGCACACACAGACTTTCCCTTCCTCTCCCTGTCTCTTCTCTTTCTTTCTATCTGACACACACACACACACTATTTCCCTTTCTCTCTCCCTCTCTCTCTCTCACACACACTTTCCCTTTCTTTTTCTCTCTCACACATTTTCCCTTCCTCCCCCTCTCTCCTCTCTCTTTCTCCTCTTTCTCTCTCACACACACACTTTCCCTTCCTTCCTTGTTTCTTCTCTCTCACACACACTTTTCTTCCCTCCCTCTGTCTGTCTTTCCTTTCTCTCTCACACACACTCTTTCTCTTCATCTGTCTTTTCTATTTCTCTCTCACACACACTTTCTCTCCCTCTCTCTGTCTCTCCTTTCTCTCTCACACACTTTCCCTTCCTCTCCCTGTCTCTTCTCTTTCTTTCTATCTGACACACACACACTATTTCCCTTTCTCTCCCCCCTCTCTCACACACACTTTCCCTTCCTTCCAGTCTCTTCTCTCTCTCACACACACACACTCACTCACACACACACACAAACTTTCCCTCCCTCCCTCTGTCTCTTATCTTCTCTCTCTCTCTCTCACACACACACACACTTTTCTTCCTTCCCTCCCTCTCTCTGTCTCTCCTCTCTCTCTCACACACTTTTCCTCCCTCTCTCAGTCTCTCCTCTTTCTTTCTCTCTCTCTCACACACACTTTTTCCCTCCCTCCCTCTTTCCCTCCCTCTCTGTCTCTCTCTCTCTCACACACACACACACATACTTTTCCTTTCTCTCTCTGTCTCTTCTCTTTTCCCTCTCTCTCTCACTCACACAAACACACACTTTTAATCCTTCTCCTGGTCTTTCCTCTTTCTATGCCAGCCTCTCTCAAACACACTCTATCCTTCCCTCTCTCTATCTCTCCTCTTCTCCCCCCCCACACACTTTCCCTCCTTCTCTGTTTCTTCTCTCTCTTACACACACACACACTTTCCCTCCCTCTCTTTGTCTCATTTCTCTCTCATTCTCACACACTTTTCCTCCTTCTGACTCTCCTCTTTCTAACTCTCTCTCTCATTCTATCTCACACACTTTCCCTCCCTCCCTCTGCCTCTCCTCCTCTTCCTCTTCCCCCCCCTCTCTCTCTCTCACACACACACACACTCTTTCCCTCCCTCTTTGTTTCATTCCTCTCTCTCACACACACTTTTCCTCCTCTCTGACTCTCCTCTTTCTAACTCTCTCCTCTCACACACACTCACTCTTTCTCCCCCTCTCTCTGCCTTTCCTCCTCTTCTCTCTCTCTCTCTCTCTCACACACACACACATACACACCTTCCCTCTCTCTGTCTTCCCTCTTCTCTTTCTATAGGTCTCTCCCAGCAAGTCTTGTCTCTGTTTAATTCCTGCACCACCTGGCCTTGGTGCCTCTGGCCAGCTGAGGGGTGTTGGATGCATCTCCACTGTGGGATAATGCCATTTTGACACTGCTTTGCTCCATACTAGGGAACCCTGGGAGTTGTAGCTTCTTTGGCAGAGAAGGCTAGAGACTTAGTCAAACTGAGGGCACCTACACTGTCCACTGAATGCAGCTTGACCCCAATTTGAAGGCCATGGCTGAATGCTACCAGGGTTTTGTTTGGTGAGGCACCAGAGACGGCACCTCTCCTTTCTCTCTATTTAAAACCCTACAAATATGCTGTCTGTCTGGCCGCCTTCTGGGCTGCGGGGTCACAGGACGCTGTGGGCGGGTGGTGAGGCCATGGAAGCAAAGCTTAATCCTGATGTCGTGCTGGGTTTTTTTGGCTTCCCTGAGAGGATTACAGCCCTGAGGGAATTCTTGTGGTGTGGGATGCTTTCTCCATGGAAGAGCCCTTGAGCTCATCCTTCCTCGTGAAACCAGGACTAAGGGCACAGAGAGTTAGGCATCGTCCAGGACTTCTCTGGCTATGCATGCGTGCGTATCAGGGATTTCCTAAGCAGAATTATCTGTGGATAATTTGTTTTTGACCCTGGGATCAGGCCGCAGTGGTTTTCAGCATGTACAAAGTGTTTATTAATATGCATGTATGTGTTTACTTTATTTTTATCCCGCCTTTCTCCTGATATAGGGATTCAAGGTGGCTAAAAGCAAACATGACCTAGTCAGTCAAACCAAAACAAACATATTAAAATAGTAATATAAAAATTAAGAAAACCATTAAATATTGTGTATCGTCAACATAGAAATATCAACATTAATTTGACAGTATAGATGCACCCATAGCCAGCGTATGGGATTTCTAGATGCAGAAGGGAGACTTTAGTTCATTAACCACATAATACTTGATCTATTTGATATGTGATTTAACCACACAGATGTTGGCTGTCAAAATAGCTTGTGTTGCATCCATATTTTGTAATCCATTCTTTTTTGGATCCCTGTAGTATGTTGAATAATGAAGATACCCCTGAATTCTGTTGCTAGTCCCACCTAAAGTAGTCGATTACATCAATGGGATTGACCTAAGTGTTGATTTACCTTTCAATAATTAATTCAGTGGGTCTATTCTGGTTGGGATTAACTAATAGTAGCCATCATTAGACTGTAATATCATTGCTTATGGAAATACAATTTTGTATATTTTGTACACTTTTTCCAGCTTTGTATATTGTTCTTGAATCCTATGCATAGAATAAAGCTCAGTGCTGGGGATGATGGAGGTTATAGTATGAAACAATTGGAGAACCACCATGTTGAGGATAGCTTGCACAGTTGGTTTTTGGAAGTGTGTAAATGCATGCATATAATGTCATCATCTTTCCCAGACAGGTACACTGACAATCCCAGTGCTGTACTTCAAAGAATGTTGTACCTCTAAGTAAGTGTGTTTGGAATTACAGGCTGTCTATGCATGCTTGCTTGGAGCTGTTTGTGAAACGGTGTGTGTTTCTTTAGGCGTAATATCCAGTGAACTTGAATGAGTACTTGTGCAAACAGGAGGCTGCTAAATGCAATTTCCTTTCTCTTTCTTTTACAAGAGTTTTGTAACTTTCTTGAACGAGAGTCAGGGTTCTAAAAACAGAAGTGTAAAATATGCAGGCTTTGACATTGATTTTAAGTAAGCCCTTGGGACTATGTTACGTTTTTGTAAAGATTATCTGGAACTCAGCAGGCGTGGTGGTGGTGGGAGATAGAGTATTTACTTGGTCAGAGTAGCCTGAGGCATTTTAATTTTAAGATGGGTAGTTCATGAAGCTGTATGGCTCTCGTACAAGCCAGTTGTTTCATTGGTTTTAAAAGGGCTCTTGGGTTAGTTTTGCTTGAAAATTGATTGCAATGCAGAAGTGTATTGACTGATGCACTGCTTGGATATTATTTTTAGAGTCCTGGTTTTCTTCATCGCTTTGTTACCAAAAACGTAGGGAAAGGTATAGGCTTTCAGCAAACTAGATTTTTTTTGCCTTTGTGCACTAAACAGGAGATCAAAAGCATGCTGTGGGTTTTGGACAGTAGATCTGGGTTTGGATGTTATGGCTTGAGACTCCTATTTGTCTTAAAGATTGGCAGCAGGGTGATAAAATGAAATACAGTGTATCTAGCCTAGGAAAGGAGGTAAGTGAAAAGCCAACCCAGAAATTGCTATTCTTTAGTCCACTAGAGCTGGAAATGAAAATATGGTCATACGGTGTTTCTAAATGTGCAATTTCAGTTGTGTTCAGTCTCCAGAAAATATTTTTCAGTCCTCTAGAGAAGAGATTTTCTTCTGTGACAGTCAGCTATAGCTGAGGAATATTTTCATTGATTTGTGATCCATACGTTGACAGAAAGTTGCTTTACCTTGTACATATCTGCATATTGAGTTAATATTTTTGGAAGAGGGGAGGAAGATATCTGCTGAAGTATAAGCCTGGTAACTTTGTAACATGGGTGGAACAATATTTTGCAAGGTTCTCACCAGATCCAGCTCATTCCCACTCACGGATACCTCTGATGTCTCATAAACTGAGATAGGTTCATGAGTGAACAGCTCAAAATGTGTACATTCGAACAATATACAAAACAAGTCTTAGTAAATAGGGAAAGTTTGTCTGAAAATGCATGCATTAGTAAAAAAAAATGCATAGATAAATGTTAATACAGCATTACTTCAAGTGTGGAA